ATGTCGACCCGGTTTCACATCCTTCAGTTCCTTTACACCCATTTTAGGTTAGACAGAAAGTGGGTTAATCACTTTCTTTCTGAACGTTCTTTAGGTTATTAATTCGATTTTAATTTTGCGCCTTGTATTAATATGTGTGCACTCTCCCAAAACAATTCCAAAGTATTGTATTTATCTTGTGCTTTTAGACCAAAATACCACGTAAGAAACATTAAATGAAATGAAATATATATTTTAAGATTAAGAACGTTTGAAAGGAAACGAACGTATAGTCAAGCCTGCTTTGATGCCAGCAAACCAGTCTGTCTTTTTGATGTTTAACATCAAAGATTTAATTGTTAATTTTAAATCGGGCGACTTTTATGTCGCCAACATTTCACTTTTCGACCACGATGTTTGGCCGCTGGGTTTCTAGTTTTCTTTAGAGTTGCTATTCATTTACTGAAATCCATTACTGATATCAATATCTAATCACAAGTCACGCATTAAATAAATTAACTACTAGTAGACAGCTCTTTATATAGAACCGGAACACCAGGAGGCTATCTTCTCACTTCAATCTACTTACCAATAATCTATTGTTTTCAATTGCCTATCTGACATGTTTGATATTTCAAACATCTTGATACTGCTAGCTCATACGAGTAAAATTATGCATGGTTTGTCACCTTGATTTACGAGGCTTTCAGGAAACACTACAGCCTAAACATTATTCGAATCATTTGGTCATTGGTGTCGATGGTATAACAGACACAACCAAAATTCGCTACATGATAACTATAGGTAAAATAAGTTATTTACCTACAATATGCAGAACGTCATTTAATCAACCACTATAGTTAGTAAAGTTCACTCAGTGTATTGAGTTATAATTCATGTATTAAACTTGATGATAAAACACAATCAGAGACAAGGAAGAAATTGCAAATTAAGTGTTTAATCGTCTCGAAGATTTATGATATTAATTTATATCATTTGTAATCACTTTTTGTTTTAACAAATACATTTTTGACATTTATTTTGTTACATCATTTAATAACCGAATAGAATCAAACATACATAATAATTAACAAACAATCAATATTTGAAAAAAATCTTAGTCAAGAGGCGAAAAATATGCACACGAAATTTCATCATATAGATTTGGCTTGGCATTCCACATTACCTTTAAGTGACTATTTTATTAGAACGAATTTTTACATTGAATTAACATATATTTAGAATGAAATGTTTAATAGATTTTTTTGTTGCCGTTAATATAGTGTTATATTACCCAAGGGTTTGTAGTCCTGTCGATATTTCCTATTAAGAAATCCAATTAACAGGACAGAAACTTTCTAATTTTGTGTTATGTTGTCCATTGTTTTGCAAGTATCATCGGAACACTGTTAAGTGTTTTTGACGTTTTATTCAATTTAGGTTTCTACAAACTGTCACTTCTTGTCAACAAATAACAATGTTTCCAAATCTTAAGAAGCAAATATTTTGGGTAGCTCTCATTACATTTACAAACCAAATTTTTACAAATTAATTATCCGATTTTGGACTCTTTTTGTCGCGGAGAAAAAAAATTCTTTGAAAATTTAATTAAATCCATGTTTCAAGCAGTCGTCTTATGTTATGGTAAATATTGACATTGATGAACTTATTTCATTGAAGTGTATTAACTTAATACTGCACTATTTATTAAAAAAATTTCAAATCAAAATTACTTTTAAGACTGCAGTCACAGCCAAATGTGGACATATTGATTTGATAAGGTTGCAAGTCCATGTACCGTTGTACCATGTACTACCAAACTGTTTTACAATTTTGGAACTTTGGTGTTTGTTAATTACTTTGGCAATCAATTTATTAAACATGTTCTCACATACCAAAGAGCTTCTTTAATACTGCTTCTTCTTGCATTATTTAACAATTAGAGTTGTCGGAAGTAATTTAACAGTCATTTATTCACAATATTTTTCAGGTTATTACAACTATTGATGTTTACACTGACTGCAACATGAGACTCTCTTTTACTTAAGTAAATATAAAATACAACTGTTTTGTTAAAGAAATTTGTTATCAACAATGCTGACGTGATAATTGGTACTGTTATCAGTCTTGTGTTCTGGCAAGCCTCAAATCGTATTACCTTCAATAAGTCTACTGAACAATTCGTTTATTTTACTTAAGTGTTTTCGTGACCCTGTTAATCTGAACTAAAGTACTTCGGTTTCATAGATTAAGTACAATGTGTACAGACATAGAATCATCTTATAACATAGGTCGATTTAGAAAATATATTTGATTGTCCACAGCTTCAATTCTGTCCGCCCATTGAACATTCTTGTATGCTGGATTGTTTGCCTGAAATTTTCCCACGAATTATATTTGTAGTTTTTTTGTTTCTTGCAATCATGCCCCCCCCCCACCTCCGCACATTATGTGAATGTATATTTATCTGATCTTTAGAATTGTTGATATTTGATAGATAAAAGATTGAAGCATCAGATAGTATACAGGCCAATCTTCCTGTTAGGGTGTAACAAGAGAATTGACTTATTGGCAGTAATCTCATAAAAAGTCATTATCACCTTCATGTAACTAAGCCTGTATACAAGTATTGTATGGATTGTGATCAGAGCTAGAATAACAGGTGATTAAAACATAACAGGCTACCAAAGTGTCTACAGCCAGTTGTCTTCTTACTTAATAATGTCCATTGAGACATGAAATAGAGATTAAGTGCCATCAATGTAGAAAGTCTGAACAGTCCAGATCAATTTCGATGTGACAAACTTCCATTCAACACGTAACAGACACGTACAGTTCTGGGTCAGATTGTCATGATAGTAAAAATATGGAATCGGAGTAAGCTATGAAACTACTTCGTTCATTAGGTAGATCTTGTGAAGATAATTGTTCTATTTTCTGAACAATTTCATCTAAAAATGTAGATGAGTATATACTAAACAACCTCGAACCAGATTGAATCGAATTGAAAAATACATCTTCGATTATTTATTGTTTAATATTATCCATGATCTGCTGCTATGTGAAGCTATATAAATTTGACAATAATAATACTTTAATGACACAATAGTAATTTAAAGTCTTACAATTAAACACAAACAAATCCCTCATAGATTATTGAATCTTATCCAATAAATGATATATTCTTACTATATCAAATACGGAGTTGAATTTCCCCCAAAACGTAGTTTTAAAGAAGTATTAATCTGTTACGGATCCTTTAATCTAAATAAAAAATAATAATTTAGCAAAAGAGGCATTGAACATGGAAAGTTCCATTTAGACATTTAAGTTAAGTAATGCCATTAACACTTACAAAAGAATTTGATTTAAACAACGGTGTATATATTGAAATAAACCATTAACGAAGTATTGTTGTGCTACAATTCCCACTTCACCAACCACGCAATATTAGCATATGAAGATATGTTGAGAATTCGAATAGAAAGTCTATAGAGATTTGTTCAAGAAGATCATTCATTTCGGAATTGGGTCAGTAACATTCTGCGTTCAATACAATTTTTGATTACAAAATCTTTGAAATATACTATGAATCATGCTGATATCAGAACAAGTTATTCACAAGTTATTTGTTAAGCCATGAATGATTTGAATGAAACCGACTGAGCATCTGAAGTTTTTTGATCAAATGCACAAATAACTTATGTAAGTCATTTTTAACAAAACGATACTAATTGGACAATTGGTATAGCGGGTTCCTAACTCGGATAAAATACCAATGGTGCTAATATAAACATTTATGCTATGCCCTATTACAGCAGACGGTTTCAAATTCGTTCTCGAAACATATACCGAGTCTGATAACAAAAGATAGAAAAAAAGTTCAGCTTAAAGGCAATGTAGAGTGAAATGAAGTGTAATTGTTGCTTAGGAAATGTTAAATTTAAAGTAAGTAACGTTCTACAGTATTGATATCTAAACTAGGTTGATTGATTTATTTCTTCAGACTTTTCAACAGACACAAACTTGTTGATTTTACGTATTCGAGTCCCGTTTTAAATTTGCCAGTCTGTGTAGAGGATTAGCTGAAACTGGCCATTCAATAATCCAATAATGTTCGTAAATAAGTGAGTGGTATTGCGATCCCATAGTCCTCTCTAACATCTGTCAAACTGCTCATCAATTTCAATCGATCTGACTAAACTCGTAGCACATTATTCTTCGAATACTAATGCTATTTGCTTATCAATTCAATTATCACAAAAATCAATTAATACAATTTAAGAGAAGTTTAATCTTGGATATTGATATGAAGGAAATTAGTCTTATTAAAAGACGAAAAGAGATACCAATTACAGCAAATGAATGCCACACCCACTCATATACAAATATTGTAAGGGATTTAAGGATGCTTTATATGGAAACAAAAATGAATAAAGTTCAACATTTTTCCACGGCAATATTACTTTTATGTACTAGATTGTGTTCGAAAATAGGCAAATATTTGTTATTCCAATGACCTATCAGTTCTTTCGCATAATCTTTTTCCATGACAATTCTACTAGTATGTCCTTGACCAAACACTTACATTGGTATGTATTTTGCCATATTTTTGCCTTTTTGTCAATTGTAACCCTTTCAGGTCGTATGTCGGTTTAGATTTCTCTTTGGTACTTTTTATCAATGCGCTTCTTCAATTATCATCTTACCTCTCATATAATGTACCCTTTTGTTATAAAGATTTTATCAAATGCACAATTCAGTAGGCACGTCATAAATATTACTTTCGATCAGTTCAACATGTTAGGAGAAACAAAAATTAATTTATCTCCATCTCGATATGTTACTGAAAAAAATCACAATCTGCTTCATACATAATCATCTTTTGGATTGAGAGAGGAGACGCAAGTTTCAGAAACGTGGCGATTGTTGACACTGAGCTCTGTGAAAGACTTATCTGGTCCAAACATATTCTTGTCTTTATTTGAACCACATCTGACAATCATCGCTAAAATAAAACGGAATCCTTGTCTAAATCGCGAGTTCATCCACCAATACACAAAAGGATTGTACGCACAGCTACTCATAGCTAACCAGTGAGCAAACACCCAAATATATCTTGTATGTGATTGATCATATATACTGGGATGGACATCGCCAACTATTGTGGTAACATGTAGAGGTAACCAACATACAGTATATATACCCACCACAGCAATCATCATTAATACAGCCTGCAATAGAGAGAAAACATTATTACAATTTTGATCTATATTGTCAATTCGACTCCAGTAAACACTGTCGTAGCATTTGTAGTCCCCCCCATGAAAAATTTAGATGATTTAAATGAAATTTTTAGTCCCCCTTACCATAATTTCCCCTCCCCCCCCCCCACCACCTCCTCTTCTCCCCCTTAGACTCTGGGCTCGCTACGGGCCTTACCTCTTGTTACACTGCAATTGAGAAAATCCAATTCGTTGTCCCTTTCGAAGACTTACGACAAATAGTTTCTTTGTCTCGTCTTCATTCGGCATTTAATATTTGATTACGTTGTACGATGTTGAAAGATATTTAAGCCTCAATGGACGAATTCAAACCATTGATATCCTCTCGGAATAAGAGGTTAAGGTCTTTACAATGATCATTTCAACAATATAAATTATTATGCAAATTGTTATCACAATAAAGTGAAATATCACATCCCAGATAGATATTCAGAGCATTAATGATTTTTATTATCTGTGTTCAAAGCTTTCAGTACCTTCAATCCAACAATGCTGATAGTAGTTTATTTCTTGAAAAAACCTAATAGCAATAATACGTCAGTGTGAACATAACGAAATGATAATGTTTCAATAAATTGAAGATATAAGTGAATGGATTGATATAGATGCACATCAGTGAAATCAATCTAATGAAATTTCAATTCATTAGGCAAACCAATAATTTGTAATTAAAAGTCAACTGCGATATATTGACCCGCGATAAACTGGTAATGCGAGATATAATGAATAATTCTAAGCTCGTACAGGCGAGACATTACTCTTGGTTTGAAATTGCCAATTCAAACACTGTCTCGCCAATTTGTATTTCTTTAAAATGAACACATATAGTAAGTCAGATTCTGAAATTTAAAAAAAATATGTATATTTAAGATGTAATTACGGGCGGAAGCAAATACAAGTACGATCGATCAAACATAAAGTTGACCGCTAAGACAGAAGTAAATTTCCACTCGCCCTCCTGTAGCTACGGGCCTGGTTGGAATATTCTAGGGTCTAAAGACGGCCTCCTTGGATATTCACCTGTTTCATGACACCGTCAGCCAATCAATTTCTGCCCTCTGCAACGCTGGGATTTTGTGACACCTAAAAGGCTGAATTCAGTTAATAATACGAAGTGGCTAAATTAAAAATAACAGCTAGTAAAAACAGAACGTCTAAGATCTAATTTTAATATATAACCATGTACAACAAGTTTCATAAAAAGTGAATCAAACTGTAGCATTTATTTGCGATAAGATAAAACAGGTTTGCAAGAACTGTCCTGAGTCACGTGGAAGTGTCGGGAGCGTGCAGACCTAAACTGTAGTTTGTTTCAACGTAAATACAAATTGATTATAATAATGATTGTTTGCGTACAGATAATAGTCACTCTGTATCTTAATGAACTTATTAATTATTTCCTAAAGTAAATCCTTTATCAAGAGCTTGTTATAGAAAACTTCATTGGTTCATTCACGAAATTTTAGTCAGTTTTGAAGAAAAAGCAGCTATGAATAAAATACGATTATGACAAGAAACAAACGAAATTTAACTTCACAAAATGTTAGTAATGGTAAAATCATACACAAATTCAACGATAATTTGTCTAGAAGTACTGTTTGAGTCGAAGTATTCATATGGTCCGTCGAACTTCATCTCATCGGGCTTTCATTGTATTAAGGTTTTGACCTTCAAAATTATAGACGATCAGCTTTTGATGAGAATTTCAAAGAGTTTATATGGCTTGTTGTAAGACATTTTTCATAAAGTATTACCTGGAAGTGAAACGCTATCAAATGAAAACAAGTATTTTTTTTCTGAAGGTCCAGAGTTCAATCCCGGCATAGGTCGAGATAATACCTTCGGATTTTTCAACCCAGTTCCCCCCTGTCAGTGATGCAGATAAGAGGGGAAAAAGCGTGTAGTCGTTCGGATGGGTTAGGGTTGGCGTTGCCCGTCTTCATTAGCCCACAAGGTGCAGAAAAGTAGGACGTAAAACTTCATTGATTTCATTTCATTTCTAATCACTTTTATATTAAAATTCTAAAATTACATCCGATTTGCAAGAAATTATACAGTTGTGATTGATATAGGGGCTTTACATTTGCCTTAAGAAATATTGAAGTTTAAATTTACTTTATTGACAAACGATTCATTTACACTTACTTATATTTTCTTTAAGGACATTATTCTTTAAATAAATATTTTCTTGAACCGTTAGCATAATCCTTTGTGATTGAAAGTAGAATTATAAAACGTTTGACCATTAATCAGTAGAACATAAATAGCAATGTTATTCCCTGGTGGTTTAATGGTAACAAGTCTAGTCTAGGTTGGTCTTTTTTATTTCCTTTTCAGAAAAAAATACACCATTTATTCACAGACATCTATACAAATAACAATTAATTGACATAATCAGGCATGATTGATATATAAATACTGGGCCATATATTTAATATGAAAATCATGTCCACTTGTCATGAACACATCAGGGAGAATATTATAAATCAAAGTTTTATTTTAAGTTAAAACGGTAAGTTTTAGTAGACAAGATTTGTTTAAAGAAAATTATATAAATTACAGAAAATCAACTCAATTATTTTATTTCTGTGATAACTTTACTTTGTAACACGAGAAAAATAATGTGAGCATGATATGATTGGCAAAAAGTGTAATAATGGAATTATCGTTTTTATGTGATCTCCGTGCAAAATACAATAAGGCTAATTATACAGACTGGCTTAAAATGATTCTATTTCTAGTTTGAACATAACAATCAACTTATTGTTTGTACTTTTCTATTTTTGTAGACGATGGAATCTCAATTCAGTCCAATCTTTTTTAAGATGTCTAAATAACTCAACATTTTCTCAGGTTCAATTCTAGCATATTGCTATTTCTAGTCTAACAGAATTTCTGCAAAATTGTTCTAGTGGATCAAATATTTAGACCAACGGAACATGGACATAAAGAAATCACCCGTAACAAGTTTACTTTTATTGCCAACATGAAATATATAGAATAATATATAATATAGAATGTATTCGCGCGAATAGGTAAGGTAAATCTATAAAGTTCTGAAATTTAGTTATAAATTATGCTAAAATTGGCAACTATTTGAATCTTTTTAGATACTAAGTCTACGATACAGACAAATGCAGAAAGCACACGAAAACTTCACGCATCATTGCCCTTTGAAGTAAAACTGTAAGCATTTTTTTCGTTGCGCCACTTTGTTTCAAACCGTAACAAATCGGATCGGGGATTATGAAGGGCGTTATTGCCACTATAATCTATTTTTATAATTTAGCCACAGTTGGCAGTTCTGGTTGCTAAATCTATGGAATAATCACAAATTGAGGATCAAAAGACAAGCATTTAAAAGGACGAATCGTCCAATGTACCAAGGGAAATGAAATATTGTACATGGACGGACATGTAATAAAAAGCTGGCAGTAATCTTGCACGTTGATGCCTTTGATTCTGAGATACTTGCCGATGCCGGTAAGTAGTAAATCATGAACAGATTAAACGCTCCACATCCAATCTAAAGCACAAATCTCTCGAATAATTTTCTTATAAAGCACAGAATTGCAATGGTATTGTATCTGCAATCTGTATCTTTTTTGTTAATGTGATTTGCCGTTAGACTGAACATTTGTGCGCACATTTAGCTTACCCACAGGTTCCATAAATATATTTCGTGTTCGTCTGTTAAACTGGATTTAACGCAAAATATTATCTCAATTGTTAGTATAAAAGTGTCTCATATTGATGAAATCGAACTTAAGGTTTAAAATACTCTGGATGAGAACTAATCGAAAACCGTTTAACTGAGTATTGTTCTACTTAGAACGTCCAGATACAGTTTTCTATTTTTAATAGTAAATTAATGATTGTAAAACTCTCCAACCTACACGTGAAACCTGTAATTACCTTTCATCTCCTACCATTTTTTATAATTAAATTGTAAGAGAGTGAACCATTTCAAAATGAAACGTGCCAAGATACAATTTATTATCATAAGATCACTTTTGTTTTAATTATTAAGTGCAGTAATCTCACAATCCTGTCTGTCACATCTTTCTCAATTGCAATTAATCACATATAGTTAATAGGATTTTGTTGCATAAGAGCATTCCGTATTCTAGAGATATTTTGGAACTTCTGTTTTTATGATGTTGATTTTAGAAATAAATATCATCTGTCTGTCCAATTCTGTATACCCATGTCTAAGAATGATCATTTATTCACTGACACAGAAAATTTTCTCATGACTTGTTAACTTTCATATCACCTTAATGCAAATTGAAAACTATATCAGACATTTATACCCAAGAGAGTACGATTCTTTAATATAGTATTCCTCGATATAACAATCCGGACTTGATTATCTCCCAAGCTAATAAAATGTCGAAAAGTGATCAATTTTATATATCTATTTGGGTGAGTGAACGACGAATGAACGACTAGTTTGTCTTTTTAAGTATTTAATAGATCTTAACCTTATATGACATTTATTTCACCAGGCAATAGATCAGGTCTACTATATCTATGGCATCTTCATGCAAGATTCTATTGTACTCAAATACCACGAGTGACACGTTACTCTTTAAAAAAAGGGGGTTTCCAAATGTTAGTATGTCACAACCTATGACATAACTGAAACCATCAAGTCTTTATACTTGATTACCATAAATAATAACTCAAACAAAAAACCTATACACCTCTTCATACTATTTTTGATGGACGAGAATCATACGTGGATTGTGACAGGAAAGCATCGATCTCGAGTACAGAATTCTAATACTGATTTTATTGAACAAAATACCTTTTGAGTCTGAAAATTACATTCTATTTTGCAATTGAAATGGAAAATGATTTTACCAACTGAAAACAGTTCGCAGGCTATATAGAACATGGCCGAATCAACTAATATTCCCAACAAAGTTTGATTATGAACAAGACTATTAAATTCCAATTTACACGATCTCATCCGAGGGACCACAGTACTTATTCATTTCCTCATACAATAATTGAAATGCCAAGAATCACTTGAGCACTTTCATTCCATATTCAATTCTGAAGAAGTCTGTGGTCAGTTATTAGTCTTATATAAAATATGAATTGAATCAAATCAAGCTTGCCACTGATTTAAAGTTATCTTTAACTAGATGCAAGCTGCTTATATTAATATCGTTAAGTGCAAAAATCTATAGCTTTTAGCACCCACTTTAGATTTTACATAATGTAAGTAACATTCGCTTAATTGTAAAGGGCGATTTTAATATCCATAATGTAAAACTCTATCCAAAGTAATGTTTTCACCTTTAAAAAGAAATTCAACGCCATGTATTTGGCATCAAAACGATGCCTTAAGCTATAAGGGAATTAATGTTTAGCAAGACTTTCATTAGTGAAAAGCAGACCGTAATATCTGTTAACTGTAAATAAATGGGATTCTATAATCTCAGTGAAAGTGTCAGCTTAATGAACCAGTCTGAAGCATTCAAATTGACTATGCGTTTACATTAAAAAAAATTGGCACTGGACAGAGCTACGACATTCGTAAGACTGCACATGATGCACATTCATACAGTAAAAATTTGGGAGAATAACAAGCAACCACTAAGATTCAAGATTATATTTATCATGCTGAAGACAGGCTGAAATTTGATCGTAAGTTGGGTGTGGTTCAAAATTCAAAAAGCCAAACAAATAAAGAAAAGATTCAAATTACATTACTGGCGTGTAAATGTAAAACATTAGAAATCAAAATGCACAAGAGAGCCTTAACCTATTTGGAGTTTTATCTCAGATCAATGGTTCTCTTGAGCAAATAGATTTCCACAGATTTTGATATAATCATCATAAAACACACGTTGGAAACAGGTTCTTAAATTGGTATTTCAATTAACTTAAATCAATCAAGCGTTTCTTAAAACTGATGAATAAAATATAATGATTAGTACGGTTGCACTATTCTTATTATGATATTTCAACTACAAGTTCTTATTTAAGGGCTCCACCCTATTGGCTACATTGAGTTCTTTGCTTTGAAATAGTATTGCAGAAAAAAGGGTTTTCTTTCTTTATAAAGTACTTAGATATTGATGTTTTCAACCAGTTTCGTGTCTTCAAAGTAGACGCCTGGGATAATTGGTAAAGGATATTTATCCGAAGAAGAAATGTGTTTTATTTTGAGATGTTTTGGAAACTAAATACACATTAAGAAGGTATATGGGCGGGATAAAATTCAATATGAAACTGTCAAATGAAATTTCATTAAATATGTTATATTTGGTTAGTTCATTCAAGTTTCTTTAGTTCTACATCTTCACAATGTCAAACTATTGCAAACTTTGTCTTATACTTTGCAGTAGTCACCTTTTGTGGAAGTTCGTAAAAGAAGCGATCAAAGGTCTCGATAGAAAATCTGTGAACACAAAGCCATAATCTTTACAGCCTTTCTATCGAAAGCTCTGATTGGCTGCATTCGCTGGCGTACAATTCAATCAAATCGTAAGTTAGTGAGCTAAAGCACCTAGTTTAACAATACGCGATTACAACAGGTTACCAGTTTAGTAATATACTGGATATTGGGAAGATGATAGTTCAGCTGGATACCTTTTAACACCACAATATACAATTTGATTTCCCACATGATTTTCTAATTGCGTATAAATTTAAGAAACAACATTCATCAAATATCTATAGGAGCAATGAATCTGCCACCCAAATAAAACGTTAAAACATTCTTCCAAACGATACAATGAACCCCCAATACCATTAGTTTGCTAAAATAGTTTCATACACATCAATGTTTTTGGAAGAGGTATAATACAAAGCGAATCGGAACCTATATATCTAATATATTTCGTATTTTAACCAAATTTATACGGCTCAATGTAAACTGCGTCTGTTATTTTAGTTTGATTTAAATTTATACTATACCTTTCTTCGTGGATCAAATTCTTTACCATCTCCCTCACCACGGGCTTGATATCCAATATCTTTCATCCACACAACATGGACTATTCGAGCATATGTATAAATAAGCACACCAAGTGGTAGAAAATATTGTAACACCATGATAGTTGTACTGTAACCAACTCGACCAGATTCTGTTAGCCACACTTCATAACAATAGTATTTTGTTATATTCTCTTCTAAATACGGAACAGTTTTAGAGGTTATGGCAGTGGGTAATGGTGTTAGAAAAGCTAATAACCAACATACTGCAATTACCATGAGACATTTCCTTTTTGGCAATCTTGGTCTATAAGGATGTAAAATTGCTATATATCGTTCTAAACTTATAGCTAGAAGAGTGTATGCATTTTGAAAAACAATTGCAACTTGTAAATATGTTATGATAGGACAAAGAGCATCACCAAATGGCCAGTAATTTAACAGAACATTTGCTACAAACGTTAATGGTATACAAACAACAGCCATAAGTATGTCTCCAGTAGCCAAACTAGCTATAAAATAATTTGTCACCGTTCTCATTCTCCTTTGAGATAACACTAAATAACAAACGCAACCATTTCCAAAAACAGAGACAATAGAAACAGTGGTATAGGCAGTAATTATCACAGCTTGCCATGTTATCGATACGTTACTTTCACTAGTCATGCTTTCCGAATAAGAAAAAGAAGCTTCTTGGTAATACCAGTTAAAATCACCGTTAATACAAATTTCATCTGAGTATTGTACAAATCAAATTAATTATCAACATCTCAGGTGATGGATGACATTTACGAACTCATTTTCGCGCCATTGCCGTTCACATCTTATCATACAAACAAACTTGTATTAAATTTCCTCCAATATCACCAGTTTCCATTTATCTGTGTGTAAACAACATTTGTTTATTTCCGTACGTCTCGCAGAAGTTAGTGAAGAGGAAAGACTTGTCAAGTAAGCGAAGGTATTCTCAGGAACATGTCACTTCAATCGTATTGATTAATGCCATACCCTGATCATGGATGTCACCAGGTTTCCATTAATAGTGGCCTTATCTTGCTCTTCTATTTCTTTTAATTCTGAAATGAAATTGAAGTCAAATATAAAACATTGTATTGCCGAGATCCCACGAAAAAAATAAGGTTTTAAAAAAAATTTAAACTTTTACTAATGCACAAAATTATATTCGAAAATACTCAAAGTGGAAGTAAAATCTATATTAAAGTTGAGATATTTCTTTTCTTGTACATCCAAAACGCCTTCATTTACTAAATAATACGGTGTACGAAATTAGTTTCCGATAAATCTTGCCGTTTCTGTTATCCTGGCATGTAAATGGCCAACTTAGTTCCAGTCAATATATTGGTTTTTCTGAACATACACGAAATAGAATAAGCGTAATCTTGAATTCATTTAACAAAGACCTTATTATCGAGTTTGTTGAGATGAACAACCCTTTATTGATCCAGGGCATCTAGAAAGGAGAGGTCGACCTTTGTATAGGTAACTTAGTTAACTCAAGTTATACTCGAGGATCAAAAGAACAGCTTTGAACCTAACTGTCAGGGAGTGGTGTCAGATCAATTTAGTATGCATTTATTACTCCATGATGGTTAGCGATATATGCAGTGGAGATTGACTACTTTCAAAGAAAAGTATTATTCAAATCTACAAGTGAAGTTCTGAGGTGAGAAACGCCCCAGATTTTCAAACTCATTAAAAGTCTCTTTATGAAAATGGTTTTACCCTATTGTTTAAACACTTTCACAAGTAACAACGTTATTCAATAAAACTTGAATGCAGTGGTCAGTTTATGGAGTTGACCTTGACGATATTTCAGGCAGCAAGTAAGCCAACATTTATACGTGTCTACCTTACAAATACCTGTAACATAATTACTGTATTACAATAATAGGAACAATCTTTGCAGAAGTCTCAAGTTGATATTTAATCAAAAAACATTTATCGACTAGCTCTATTATTGTTATAATTCTTGTTTATTGTGTTTTATGTTTGTTAATTGGTGTTGATGAAGGTTATATTAAAGGGATACACTTATTAAAATCACAAAATATGACCCCAATCTACAGAACTAATTCGATCAATTAATTCGCCTGATGTGTATGGCATAACCCTGATCAACTATCTTATTTAGTTATAAAATTGTCAACATCATCTTGCATTAACAGTTAAGATACATATCTATTTTATGGACCAATAATACAACGCTCAAATCTAATTATTGTAGTCTGTGAAGTGTAATGGTGAACAGCAGTAAACTCAACTATAACTTAACCATGCTTCAATCAGCTTAACGTGTTGGTATGGTTATAACCCTTTTTTGCGGTTTCCTATCACGGAATACCTAATATGTTACATTTGACGGTGTATTAAGCAAGTTATACGTGTGAAATAGAGCATAAAATACTAAACTATTTTTTCTAATACGACTAGCTTGATAACTTGTATTTCCAAAACGATATCAGACATACGACTAGGTACACATCGAAACCAACTTGAAAATAACAGTATGAACAGCACCATTAAAAATATCATTAGATACAACTTGAACAATAGCAGTAACAATTCCTCGTAATAAAAGGTTATCCATAATTCAAACCAACAAATTGTGGTATCAGGTGCTGTACACACTCATTCACAAAATGTGATCATTATATCTGATGAGTCAATAAAATGGCGCTTCATGTACACTATTGATTGTCCTTTGAAAATTCAAATGAAGATTGTCATTAGTTGTTATCAATTGCTACTCACATAATATCAAATTAGTGGACTTTTTTCTTTCTCTGGATAATTAACAGTTATGTCAGTAATATGTAATACTTATTAGATTGAATGGATGTACTGACTGGTTAGATTGGAAAAAATCGAACTCATTAATTATTCCTGTACATTATCACACAGAGCCCTGAATTTGTCCAATTCCCTTCATGTCCAAAAAAGATTTAATAATCATCATCAAATTGCTTAAATGCTTAATAGCAGTTGGGTACACGCTTGACCTGAACAACCGGTCTGATAAGACACAACACCGAATAGAGAAATATTGTGCTCTTGTCTCTCTGAAATCACGTAATAGAAAGCAGTCTTCATTTTTCAATGGCTCTTTAAATGGAAAACAAAAGAGTTGACTCTCGCAAATCGTAGATTAACAGACGTAAGCTATATTCGTTTATGTTTCAACAGCGGTCAATTCTAATTTCGACCTTTGCATCACAATTGTACTCAGGATTTTGGCTTAACAGAAGTAGATTATTCGCCGCTTTGGCTTCTTTCCATTACATTTTAACACTTTACGTATGATGCAAGATGTAAAGCTATTTTGGGGAATCTTTCTTGATGTTGACATGTCGAAGATTAAATATTTACTGTGCATTACCTTTCACATTTAGATAACTTCCATCTTTTTTAAAGATATCATCACACAACCAAAAAATCACATTCTCAAGATACAAATTACCAACCAATATCCTACATTCACTTGTCACAATATCAATAGGTAGTCCATCTGTATTATACCAACTTGCTGGTTGTAATCTCAACAGTTTGGCGTGGGCAATTTAATTCTAAATTTTCAGCACTTTATTATTTTAAGTCCGGGTTGTTTAGAAAATATGTAACTCATATTTATCTTACAGAAATGTGGGAAGTGAGTTTGACATTCACGTTGCCTAAAAATATATAGTCATAACACCTCTTTTCTGTCTTAAGTGAAATTGAGAAACGCCAGTGAGTTAATATAAAATGAATACTGGCGTGAAAATATTTCTTCTGCTCTTGTAAAATGTGGCAGAATTTTTACACAGGTGTTAACTTATCAATCTCTCAAATGGAAAAATCAACTCAACAATATAACTATACAGAATACTTCATACAGTTCAACTGTTTGGTGTTCAACCAATGACTATGACATTTGCGCAAGCTATTATTTTACACAATTTTCATACATCTTTATGACTAAATATTATTCCAATTCTGTCAGCCCTGGATTTATGGTATAAACGCAATAGACACATAATTTAGAAAAAATGTGAAGCTGTTTAGCACCATAGATTGACAGTAGCAGATTTTAAATCGATTGGTTCGGCCACCAGAATAATCCAAGAAGTATAAATTCTATCACTAGTTGAAACAACTCTTCTTTACTTTTCAAAAGTAAAATACGTTGTTGACGTTTTTTAATTTCGTAATCTAAATTTTTGAAAGTTGTTAAACTTTTTGACAATGCACAAACGGAAATGATTATTGAGGTGAATAATATGTTTGAATTAATGGCGGGCGTTATGGTTATCATAACAGCCTTATAACAGATTATCATAACATTGCAGAACAATTTAAGTGCACAACATATAGGACCAGGCACAAAAATACATTAGGGCGCTTTCCGTTTAGGGCAAATAATTACGTTTGGTCATCATAGATAAGTTTTAAGAATAATAATAATCTCAATCTTGCACATTTTGTAAGTCATCAACGGCTGTGTATTATTACCCGTCATAAAAACTCGAAAATAAATATCACGGATTGTGACGTTCTTATAATAATAAACAAACCATTAAAATAAATTAGATTTTATAAAACTCGGAAACGATTAGCTTTTTATGATCATCTCAAATGTTAGACAATTTTTTTTTAGAAAATCATCAATCGGATTTTATGGCAACAATTATCAAAGACTGCAGTTGTACAAAAATTTGAATAAGTAATTCTGCTTTTTAGCATGCAGTATCCTTCATTTGACTAAGTTTCCTCTTCAAACCATTGATTTTGTATAGTATATGGAATTAAATATTATGATCTTTGCCGTACAGCTGATAATGAACAATTTGCAACATCTTAAATATGAAATATTTTAAAATTCAGATTAAAATGGGGCCAATGTCTTTTTACGGTGTTATTCTATGAAAAGTTTACTTACCTTTCTGAAGATATGTTAAAATTAATTCAAATTAAATCCTATACAACTACTCTATGAAGGTCGAGGTGAAAATAAATATTTTAGGAAAGATGGCTCATTTAAGTAAACACTTGTCGTTTAGAAAACATTGAAAGGTTTAATTAACCCTAAGGAACGAGTTTTTAGGTGTGTATACTTATTATGTATCACTAGTCATATTGAAACGTTTCGTTGAAATTTTTGCTCATATATAATTTGAAGTATTATAAGGTAATCTTGCATGAATTCAATACTGTTGAATATCGTACAGAAAGAAAGAGATGTGACGATGACTTTCTTGAAAAGCACAAAAGGGACCTAGTCCTGGTGGTGACGTGATAGTAGCATATATGAGATTAATCGAAGAACAGCAGATTAATATTGAAAATGTTCGGATGTGAGATTGTAGGTAAGAGATTGAAGAATGCACTGATTTTGAGACGAAGATATCCGATGGAAAGGCAAGGTGAAATGGTTAAGAGCTAATTCAACAACTAGGTTAGAGACAATTTAATTTTATCTGTGTGTTTTATTACACGAACGTGAAATTAAATGTTACATTTTACTCTGAGGATTACTACTCGTGGCACTATTTTTTCTTATACTGTCAAAGAAGTATTTGTTACTTCCACAATCACCTCTTGAATCATATCCGAATCACTAATCCTTTCGACCTGGATCA